AATAACTCCTTATTATGAAAATAGATAACCTTATTAGTATGAAAGAGAACTAACAAAATCAGATATATGAGTCGTATTTACTCTATTTCGTTTAAGTTGATGAAGAACTGGTAGTTGATTTTTTCTACAATGATATGAGTAGATCTGATGTTTACCATTAAATTTCTTATAGCCTTTCTTTCTCAAAATGTGTTCTCATCCAGGGTGACCTACAGTTTCGACCTCGCATAGGTTTTATAAACACAACCAGCAGAAGTAGAACTAGGGCAGTGGAGCATGTGAGCTCGACACGTTAACCATTACGCCATATTGTAACAGGAGCGATTTTGTCTCAGGGCAGATGTGAATTTCAAGGAATGTCAAACATTTTCCATATCCCATTCTGTGTTGGGATTGTCGATGAAACAAACTTACATTTGCTATAGCAATCAACGACATTAATCTTATTGTGAGTGAGTAGGTTTTCGAGAAGTGTCGAGCTCAATTCAATGGAAACGTCAGGTCTATTTATATCATTGTGGGAAAATTCAAATACCAATCCTTCATCATTTTAAACGAAATAGTGTGAACACAACTCATATATTTGATTTAAAGGTAGTCTCGAAAACCTACTCACTCATGACAAAACTAACGAAATCATTTTATATCTTTCTATATCTTTATAGTTATGGGTATATATAGCATGTAAATTAGTGCTGGATAGTCTTCTTAACTTTGCCTTAACTTGAAGCCTTTTCAAGAATGAATTCTAGCACTGAAAATGTTCCTCAGGCGACACTGCGAACCAAGGCTTTATTCAGTTTCATGCGAAACGAGGATTGCATTAAGGCCCTTTGCTTACAGAACAATGGGAATCCGCCATCGTCTTCCGGTAGGATTGACGTACGAAGTTCTGCATTTTCATACGAAATGAAAGTCTCCACTTCATTGCCTGATATTGTGTGAAATAGTCCTATGGTCGCTTTCGGCCGAAAGAGCCTTAGAGCCATATTCAGGGCGGTGTATCCGAGTTGGAAGCTGCTAGCACTGCTGAAATGAGAAGAGCAATTTTGCTCATTCCCGTGGCTCTTCTTTAAGGCCTAGTTTGACAGACTCCACTATTAGATCACGAGGACCAGCTTTTTTTAACTAAGTGAATCACGCGATTTACTCGGCTTGCCTCCAGACACATCATAGGATCGCTCATGAACTATTTGCGGGACATAAACAAGATAATTATATCTTGGCCATATGATTAATATTGTAAGTATGTAAACAAGGTTAAAGTACTCCTTTATTTTTATTTTTCTCTACTGTTCTTCGGTAATGTGAAGCGGTAGCTCCTGTTTTGACAATTTAGACATGCCCCAACGACAATCTACGATGTGCCTGTTTGTGCTGATCTCAACATTCTGTATATTTCCGTTTGGCTTGCAATCTGCCCAGAGGCTAAATGCCGATAGATGGCTTGGCGATAAACACTTCTATACACACCCATTTACGCCTGCCTTCCTGTATGGGCATGAATACCCATGCCGTCTTCACACAGCCAGGCTTAGTTAGCTAAAGGGCAAGATGACCAGAAAAAATTCCGTGCAACTACTACAGACGGGGAGTTGAGTGCCATCAAGGCATTATTTGTTTTCATTCGTTACTATTTGCAGATATATACGTAAGAATAAAAACATACGTATATGCATACATCTTTCTGGACTTGTATGCTAAATTGGCTCGACTTCTAGGATGGACCGACGAAATGTACCAAAAGTCTAAGTGTTCATGTGTCATGTTTATATGGCTTTTAGACGTGTTTTCGTCGACTCCCCTCTCCAGCCCGTTTAGCCTTAGGGCCGGTTATTCTTTTGCCAGGCCATAGACAGGCCAATATCAGCACAGAAAGATGGAGAAAAGGGATCGGTTGGGTTGGGTTGGGTTTGCCGGATCAGTTTGGGCTGTCCCGACAGAAAGCTGTCTTGCCGGGCTGATATAGGAATTCTTTGTGCCTTTACGGTCAGAAGAAGTAGTCGACAGGCAAAGGAACCAGTGCAAAAACACATGATAGACCTGGCCTGAATAGCAGACATTCGCATGGCACAGGAAGAGACAATTTAGGCCACTCGGCGTCCGGAAGAATTGGACATCCAGAGAGCCAGCCAAACTGGTTGGGCCAACTGCTCTGGATGTCATCCAGGAAGGCTAGTGACGGAGCGGCATGTTTGCTTGACCCAGTTTCTATGCGGTAGGTGTGCGAGCTAGCAAAGACCCAGTGACAGTTACGGCTCTGGTTCCTACTGCCGGCTCAGCTTACGCGTTGTGGTACAGCACACATGTACCAATTACTGGCTCATGTTTACCAGCCTCGAGTGACTTTCTGTTGTACCTCCATTTAAGGACTCGAGCTCACAGCCAACCTTCACCTTTTGGGCCTTTTCCTCGTATTCTCCCAACTCACTTGACGACAACCGGTGCTGTCTCCATCGTCCGGGTTCACTTAATCCGGGAACCGCAAGTAGATGGCTATACCTAAATACGATATATGTGAGTTACTCGTAGTCTCGAAAAATATTATAAGATAAGTCGATCTGGAAGCAATTTGTACATCTTCATTGTTAACATGAGTCAGCTTTTGCTGGATACTTAGTTGCCATTCGCCAAATGCCATTTCGTTTCATTCCACCAGCATGGTCTCGAGGGCTTACTTCTGCGCCACTGACAAGAACGATTTAGTGATGCTATTTAGGGCCTACTATCTGTCGATGTCATTATTTGAGGTGTATGGTTCCACAACCTTACCGGTTAGACAACAAAACAACTTAGTCTTCCTCTACAGATTCTACTTGTGCTGATTAGTATATAATTTAGCATAAAGTCGCCAACTTATGGGATGACTGTTTTGGTAGAATGGAGTAAAACTTGAATATATAGTGAAGACCATTTTGAGGCGATTTAGTCTAGTTTATACTAAATTGTTATTCACATTGAATAGGTCTCAAAACTAACCAGCATATCTTGAATAAAAGTTGTATTCACTCTTGTTGATGAAGTGAATCGGCCTCAGAATGCCATTGAATTTCACTGAGTCTGGTCCGCCTACAGGTAGCCCACAGAGAGCGGAATGAATTTTCGATATCGCCTGGGTCTCATCAGCACTCCCTTTCAGGAATCGAGCCCGGACCGTACAGCGTTTAGTTTCGACGGCTTAGTGGCCGTGTGGCAGATGCGACTGTT